CCCCCATGACCCCGCCCCCTGCATCCGCCCTTGACTCGAATCCCTTTCAGTCCATTGCAGTCTTGTCAAACCAGAGAATTGTCTTTAGAAAGTCATCTCGAAGTTTTTTATTAGAAAGTGCCACGAAAGAGGCGAAATTTAGTTCAAGGGGTGTCAACATTCCCAGCAACGGGAAGGTGCGCACAAAACGGGTAGATGCTGGTAGTAGGCATGGGTAACTCAGTTAATTTTCAGGAGTTGGCAGAGTGTTGCCCAAATGGCTTGTTGCGCCAACCCAACGCACTGGCGCAGTAACTCACCGGTGCAGTGCAGTAACCCATTCGGTAAAATGTTGCTACTGAAAAATGTGGTGACTTTTTTTGTTAGCTGTCGAAATTCCAGCCTCGTAAAACTTTAACCCGCCCCTGGGTTATTTGCTAAGCGTAATTTAAAGTGCGGAACAGTGAGGCGCGATAAGTATCGCTAGCCTGACTCACCAACTCATATAACAACACAGTGTTACCCATGCCTAGTTGGTAGGTTAAATTGTGGTAGTTGGTAACCTAGTAAAGACTTGTTTTCACAGTCAATATATACTGAATTTAACGCAAATTCCTCAAATTAATTGGAGATATGGAAGATATGGAGATATAATGGACTCCTGCGTTGCCAGATGGCCAAATGTTGTTTGTAAAAGCCTTTAGGTGGAATATTCTGAACGTGCCATTGAGAATAAGTTCCTTCAAATGAGGGGGATAGGAGGAGATCAAGTGGCCCCAGCCAGAGCTGAAAACAACAAAACGGTCGCAAAGAAAAAGAGGCAACAAAACCGAGATTCGGAGAGATTCATTTCTGCCGTTGACTCTCCCCCGATCCAAGCCTGTCTTCGGAAACTCGTTTGATTCAAATTAAAAATTGCGTTATGTATCCCCTTGGGGCTTTAAACCCGACTGTCACATTTTGCCCTTTATTAAAGGAATCCGAAAAATTTAATAAAAGAAAGGGATATTTATATTTAAGTTTCAGTCGGCTCGACAAGTCTCCCCCTTGTTTGTTGCCGTGTCTTTCTTGTCTTGGGCCGGAGGCGCGGATTTTGCCATAATGGACATTTACGCCCCCGTTTGGGGATCTTTGATGGCACCCGAAACTAAATCGCTCTATCATGCTTAGAGAAAAAAGTGGGCAGTTTTAATCGGGCCAAATTAGATGGAGAAAAAGTGCGCCGTAGTTTTATAGAGCGGCGACCGAAAAAACCGGCCCTTAAGGATGTACTTGGGGCAAATCATTAGCAAAGGGGGGATTAGATCTTGTCTAGTATCCGTCGCTCTGAATGATTGATGGGCGCCGGACCGGTTTTTTCGTCCCCAGTGAGACACTGGGCGGTAATCGAAACTGGCTCCCCATTTTGCGGTTCGGTGACTTTGCCATTTACATTCGTAGCAATTAGATGCGGCTCGAGTGGCACCGAACTGGATTATTCGCGCATTTGGAACAACCCCATCCATAAAACTTCGCCCATTCGTTTTCAATCAGGCCTGATTCGGATTCCTATGTGATCCAGGTAAATGCCATTTGTCAAGAATTTCATTTCGACTCACGTTTCTCAAATATGTTATTTCCTGCATACGTACCCTGGCTATGGATATGGTATTTGCCATCCTGTGAAACACTGGTGGCCACACAGGGTGGTGCACGACAAGCGATTTTTCTGCTATGGGCCCTGCTGGGATCCATTTCCATGCAACTTTTAAATGATGCTATGAGGAAATTGGGTCCAGCTGGCCACATCTATGAAAAAACTTGGCTGCAAGGGTTTGATATTCTTTGCCTTTTTCGGGCACAAATTGATAAGGATGAAAGCGAAAACAAGCAGCCAGTGACAAATTCATGGCAAACGGCCTAAAGGGCGTGTGGCAGTCAAACACACGGCAAAACCCTCGGGCTTTTCAATTAAGCCTGCCCTTCAGTCGGAAGTTTCTTTCTTTGCAAGCCCCATTGGGGCGCTCAAAGACGCCACTCTGGATCCGCAAACAAACGAGAATTTGGCCGTTTTTACTATTTCCCAAGGTACGTTGATACTGAAACAGATGGAAAGGCTATGATCCATATTTTTTACACTAAATCGCTTTTACAGTGTAGTAAGTACAGCCTTTAAACTTTTTTCGGTTTTTTATATTAGAGGGGTAAAAAATATTTAAAAAGACGCAGCGGCCTGTTGTCCTATCGGCCGATCAGTGTCGGATTCCTACCGACTAAAAAATTCCCTCTTTGTTACCTTGGAATCCGCCGTCAGGCATTACTTCAGGATATTGCCTTCAACTAAACTATGAGACAATAAAACACTAATCGTTTTACAGATTCCATTTCCCCACCACTAAAACAAACAGCCCCATCCAGGCCAGCCAATAGTTGAAAAGGTGCGAGCGGGTTGAGGCCTGGTTGGTCACCCCAACGGGGTAGCAGGCCTGCAGGGCGATCCCACACAGTCCCTTCCCCATAACCATCCTAATGTAACCGTCTTCGCCCCAACTCGGGCCCCAGGAGTTTTTCAGAATCCAGTAAAGTTGCCCTGATTCGTTCCCAAAGCCCACCGCCAATAGTCCGTGGTTCACTGTGGTGGAACAGGAGTCGTCGAAGACGCCCGATGAATACTTGATTATCCTGTCTGCGTTGATGGCCACGGAGACTGGGCCTGGAACATGAAGAATTACTTAAGAAGCATTTAAAAGAGCGCTTCTTACCTATAAAAGCCACAGCCTGTTGGAGCTCAGTCTCGTTGCCCTCAGCTATATCAACATAGCCTCCAGACCTCACAAGGCCCGGATGGCCCGTCCGGCAGGAGCCTTGAGTTGCCTGATACGGATAAAGAACCTCAGAAATCAGGCTGTGTTTTCTGGCATACTCGAAAGCCTCCTGCACAGTGCCACCGCTGCAACCATTGTTGTCCTTGTCACAGTCCAGCAGCTGCTGTTCGCTTATAGAGGTAAGGTTGTGGTATTTCAAGGCCAGCTGCCCTTCCAAGGCTCCAGTCTACAATTCAACGAGTTAGTGGGAGACCGCTTTCTAAGTTCCTCTGGTGCTCACCGCGCTGAAAGCCCAGCAGGCCCCGCAATTCCCCTGATCCTTCACTGCCGTCACCACTTCCTTCTGACGCCAGTCCACACTGTCTGAAATGAAGCTGGAGTTCCTCAGGTGGAATAGTGTAGAGGAATTAGGAGATTTCCTGGGCAGCGTCTGGAAGCGGCTGGAGATTTCCTCTGGAGTGAGATCAGCGAATTGGTTGATGGCCAAGGAGTAGGAAACAAGACCGGCAGCAAACTTGCGGTTGTGCTCCTCTACTTCTGCCACCGTTTGGTTGTAGAGCTGTTGGCGCAGCTGTAGCTCAGCTGTGGAGCTGTAGGACTTGTTGTGGCGCAACTGCAACATTCCTAGATGAGTCTACTGCGGCTGGGGGTCGGAGTAGGGACTACCAAGAAACCTTGGAAAGACGTCTGCCCAAAACCTCTCGGCAGGAGAAACACAATCAAGAGTAGAAAACCCAACATTTAGATAACGATTTTTAACACAACTGACGACGGAATGAAATCATATGGGAGCTTCGTTTGCTGATCGCAATCAGCCACTCAGTGGCTCGATTAGATAAGGGCGGGCCCTCGAGTGTTTTTAAGTGAAGTTCTCGCAGAATTTTTGCAGTAAAAAAACAATCGAACGCTGCTTGGTTCTCCATATACACAGACCCATTAGCGCTAATCGCCCATTAGCAATTCATGGGTATATCTAAACCCATCATGCTGATTAGTAGCCGACAAAATGCGCACCCAAGCGTACAGAAAGCGATGGTACGTCCTGCTGGTCTTCGTTTACTATTCGTGCATCAATGCCATTCAAATGACTGAATACTCCAGCATAACGGAAACAGTTGCCGGCTACTACCAGGTGACCAACTTTAGTGTCAACTGGACCTCGTTGCTCCATATGGTGCTCTATCCCTTCCTCATGGCCCCCGCCGCCTGGATAATGCAAAGATTTGTAAAGCTTTTTTCTTAGCATACATTAGAAGGACTTAGGTAGAGTATTTGTAGGGGCTTCGCCTGGCCTACTGCTGTGGCTGCCTGGGCACCGCCATAGGGATTTTTGTCAAATTCCTCGCGATCTCCAGACAGGGATTTTGCTGGCTACTATTGGGGCAGGGCCTCACGGCAGCCTCCTCTGTATTTATCATGTGCTTGCCCCCCAAAATTGCCGCCGTTTGGTTCACTCCCAGCAAGGTATATAGTGAGGTGTTAACTACTCTTCCTACTTGCTAAAGGAGGAGTTTGCAGATTTCCACCGCCTGCTCCTTAGGCACCATGGGGCCTAATCTAGGCAACGCGCTCGGCTATGTGCTAGCTGTCACCATAGTTCCCAATAATCCCGACCCAGAAGAAGTGGGCAGAGGCCTCAAAACGCTCAACATTGTCTCAGCTGCGCTAATTACACCGGCCTGTCTAGCAGTGGTTTTCTGTAAGTAGCCATTTGGTCTAGGGGAAGACGGTCTTTTGAACGTCAGTTGGTTATCTGAGTTAAGGAGTAGGTAGTTAAATAAAATAACTACTCCTTAAGACCTCCCCAGCAAGCCCCCACAGACCCCCACCGAGCAACAAAGCAGCCCCCAACTGCTTCCCACTCAGACCAGGCGGGTGAAGTACTCAAAGGGATTTCTGCTGCACTTGCTGGCCTATTCGCTGAACCTGGGGGTGTTCTCCACCGGGATGATCCTTCTGAGCGAGCTGGTGGTTTCTTACTTCAAAGTATGAAGATTCCAATGCACGAAATGCAATTAGGCACCTAAGTCTTGTTCCATTGCAGGGCGCCATGCAAGCCGCCGGCTGGATGGGGTTTTGCATGATGATCTCCGGTCTTCTCGGATCGGTGATTTTTGGAGTTTATCTCGATAGAACCCATCAGTATAAGTAGAGATTTCCAACCACTTTCCATGTTTTTTAGATATGAACGCAGATTTTTAGGGTGGCTTGTGTTGCAACATCACTGGGTTCCGCCTCGAGCATCCTGCTGCTTTTGCTGGCCCTTCATCAGCGCTCCCTGGGATTCTCCTTTTTTCTTTGCGGTCTCTTCGGGTAACAGTAGGTCTTTTGGCAAAGTCGCAAGTCATCGATGGGGTGCTTCTTTACAGAGTGTTTGCCAACCCGATCATTCCAGTGGGGTACGAGCTGGGCATCGAGTTGAGCTACCCTAGCGACGAGAGTACAGTGGCGGGGCTGCTTTTTGCAGCCTCCCAAGTGGCCAGCGTTTTGTTGGCGATCAGCATCGCTCAGGTGAACAACTACTGGGGGGCTGCGTCAGCTCTTCTGAGCATGGGGGCTTTGTTTTCGCTTGGCGCACTTTTGGAATCTTTAGTTCCCCCAAGGTTCGGTCGGCTGGAGGCGCTGCAGGAGCAATAAATTCCCATTGCGGCTTTTAACAGTTTATTCACAAATATACAAAGAGTAAACTACCTAACCCTAATCACTCGAATGGGGTTGTCAACGTGACAAAGTCTCCCAAAAGATCAGCAGTCAAGTCAGCCTTTGATAGGCAGACTCTCCTCTTGAGACACAGCGACAAACTCTACAGGATTACCGCCTTTATTAAAGGCTTCCTGCCTGCGCAGGTTGTTGGGGACAAGAGCGGTAAGGACGCACCCAATCACCAAGAGCCCGATCTGGATCAAAAGCGACCAGATGGTGCCCCAGCTCTGGTTAACTTCACTCAGAGCAAGTGTGAAGATCACGCCTACGAAACGGGCCCTCAACGGATGAAGGCGACTCAGAAACACGTACTTACCGAGAGTTTGAGAGGCCGCAGTAAGCAGGCCTGTTGTCGTGCTTTCATTGGTAGGATAGGTGAGTTCAGAAGCAAACTCGATGCCTGCCGGGATGTAGGCGTTGAGGAAGAAACTGCAAAAAATCAGTGGGGTTGCTTGACGTATTTTGAGGAAAACATCCAGAGGAACTTACCCGAAAATGGCTATAGTGAGATAAGCAAGCAGTTTTGCCTGGATCTTCAGGCAAACCACCAATGCCCCCAGGCAGATGGCGGTGCCTATGTAGATAAGTAGATTGGTTTCCCTAGAGAGGAAACTCTGTACTTTAAACGTTCCAGTTAAATTTAACGACTTACTTGTACTTGTGGGTTTTATCCAGAACAATGCCCACTAGGAAGCCGCCAGTCATGCCAAATAGAATCATCACTAGGCCCATGCGGCCCGCATCTTCAGTGGCGCCCTAAAAGCGCGATCAAAGAATCCGAAGCTGACTCAGAAGGGCACTTACCGGAAAATAGCTCAGTACAAAGTGATTCAGAAGAGTGCCAAAGGCCGAAAAGATCCCAAAACTGATGCTGTACCCGAGCATGTGCACCAAAAAGCCCATGTTCGTCAGTAGATCTTTAAGAGATTGTAGGAAGGTTTTCATAGTGACCACCTGCACTTTTCTGCGCTCTTCTGCCTGGGCCATACTAGGGGGGTATTTGGGCATGTGGGGAAAGTCTGAAACAAAATCGGGATTTTGTGGGGGCTTGGCCACTACGCAGAACAAAGGAGAACTTCTCACATAAAACAACTGCAAGGCAAGCTGGAATGATGGCAATGGCAAGCGCCCAGCAGAGGCGCTTTAGGCTTAGGGCGATTTCCTGCAGATCTTCAACGTCTTTGACTACCATGGGAGGCACTAGAAAGCCCAAGGCGCACCCCAGCTGCATCCCAAACACCCCGATGGAGCACACAGTGGATACCTGGGGGAAAACAACAAAGACACGCGCTTCAACTTAACAGTGCAAATGGGAAAAACAACAGTAATCAATCAATCATTCAACGCCGGCATGTTTGCTCATCCATTACGGAAGTCAATCCTGGTCTATTTGATGACGGATTTAACACGCTCGTGTGCAGATTAGGTGTGCTTGGCGGAAATGGTTGTTGATTGAGGATTTGCCTTAAGCCATTCAACAAACCGACGTACATTAAACAGGCTTCTGACGTGATTGAAAAAAAAAACTTTTAAATGCCAGCTTTGACATCACCAGCTCAACTTACCTTACCTCAACTTACACCAAGGACTTACCTCATTTGGTTTGAACCATGTGACGGCCAGCTTGGGAGGCAGACTAAGGATGAAGACCTGAGAAAGGGAAACAATGGCCTGTCCAATCAGAACCACTGAAAACGCACCCTGATCGATAGAGAACAGCTTGATGGTGGCGCCGAGAGCGGTGAGAAAACATCCTGCTAAGGCTGCGAAACGTAGCCCCTGAAGAAACCGATTGAAAAATGTTGTTGCTGCAACTGCTAAGGCCACTAACCAGCTTGTCGATGAGGAATGAAGAGGGAAATACGAAGATCGGCCACACGATCATGAACATGACACCGGTCCAGTCGACGGCGCTCAAGCTGACTTGATAGTAGTGCATCACTATGTTGGTCACTATGGAGTATTCGACCCATTGGAAGCAGCTGATGGTCGCATAGTAGACGTAGACGGCCAAGATGTACCATCGAGAGTTGAAGGCTTTTACCACCTCTACAGAGTTTTGGTCGAATGGAATGTGGGCGCCCAGCATGGGCGTGTTGCTCTTCTCGTTGTTGGCCATCATCAAGCTGGCTCTGCCCAACTTCACTAACCAGCGCTGCATGGCTGTGTCGATTTTTATTAAAATCTTCGCACTTGTAAAGTTAATCCGCTTGTAAACGGCAAACTTTCGCAGGGATTACTTCGACGGATTATAATCATATCGATCTCTAATCGATGATTACACGCGACCGGGTGTCACTCGCCTAAATCTGGATGTCATGACGGCCAACAGGAAGACCACGACCTCCTCAACTCCAATCAGCGCTTTTTATCCACTCGAACTAATTGTTATTAATGAAAACAATGAAAACCCAGTATAGTTACCATCAATATAACAATCTTCGGCGTCATCTCAACAAAGTTATGGTTAAGACCGTCGAGTCCCATTGTTTAGATAGCATTTACATGGTAATGCCTAAATAATTGCGGTTTAGTTGACTGTTTGCCATTGATTAAGCGCTATATTGCCGATCGATTATCGATGATCTTCCTGCATAGTTGAACAGGAAAAAACAAATCCGTACTTGGAGTGATTTTTGGAATTTCGCTTCATATATTTTTGGGACATCCGTTCGGCGAAAAAAACAGCATTGTTTTAGATTGGGGTGTTGCGCAATTTACGGGCCCGCAATTTGTTAAATAGCTCGGATAAATTATGTATTTATTGGTTTTCGGAGATTATTTCGCTTTAATCCAAGGAAGTGCAATAAATCGTCATCGATTAATCACTACAATTGCTTGAGCGACTGGTTTGAATCCGACTAATTTCCATTTACCTACCACCATCCATCGACTGGTAGGAAGACCAGCTAAGTAGCTGAAAATATCTCAAAATGCAGGCTTTTTGCGTGAAAACTGCATATATTTCCCAAGTTTTGCTTCATTTCATAACTGGGTTGTTTCATTCTCCATCTGGAGGTGTGTACATGAGCGCTCTGGCTCAATTTGTTCATGAGATATCAGCAAGAAAGTGGCGTCATGCTTGTGTACTCAACTGCCCTCTTTTCTATAAACGCTTGAAATTAACACTTGACCCTACAGATGCTGAAAATTTCTTACAAATCGCCCTGATTTTATATTACAACTGGGAATTTCTTGATGTCTACAGGTTCATTCCAGCGGCGTACTTATGAGTATGAGAAATATGTGGTAATGTCTGCACGAGTTCTGTGATTGAAAATGGGGTAATTTGAAGAGGGTTTAGTGAAGTTATAAAGGTTCCATGGTTGCACTACCATAGAGCCCGTGTTGCGCGTTAGCGTTTTTCTTTATGGATCAGTGGCATATTTTTTGGAAAAGCTCCTGAAACTTTTGAAACATATACAGGGTGGGCTAACCCTATTTATGACTCTCCTGGTAGAGTTAGAAAAAAACGGTCAAACACGTCAACTTTTATTTTTAAGGGGACATCTTGCTGACTATCATCATATTATACAGGGTGTTTTATAAACAAGATACTACGTCACACTTTTAATTAAAACCTACTATTTTTATGTAATTTTTCGATCCTGCCAAAAGTTTGTAGTAAATTTCGCGTAGCATGAACTATACCCATCTTCAACCGTTTCAATTTTATTTGTGTTTGTTGTTGAGATATTGAGCCGTTCGAAAGTATCGCAGATTGCCGTTTATATGGCATATTGCCAATCTTCTATCATAATCATCTTCATTGAATTTATGTACAAGTTTTATTTTGTAAGGATGAAATTTATGACTTTTCAATATTCTTCGTATTGACGTGCGAGAAACTCCGGAAGATGTAGCCAGTTGGCGAGTACTTTGGATATGGTCATATTGAAAATTTCATTATAATGAAAGATGTGCAAGTTAAGTTAAAAAAAAGTTGAAACCCACAGTGACACTTGACGGTGACTCGTTCTTTTTCCTAATCTGTCAGAGGTAGTCATAGAAACGGCAATCTGTGATACTTTCGAACGGCTCAATACCTCAATCAATCAACAACAAACGCAAATAAAATTGAAACGGTTGAAGATCAGTATAGGACATGCTGTACGAAATTTACTACAAACTTTTGGCAGGATCGAAAAATTACATAAAAGTAGTAGGTTTTCATTTAAAATTTAAAAGTGTGACGTAGTATATTCTTTATGAAACACCTTGTATAATATAATGATAGTCAGCAAGGTGTCCCCTTAAAAATCAAAGTTGACGTGTTTGAGCGTTTTTTTCTAAGTCTACCAAGAGAGTCATAAATAGGAGTGCGACCTTTTCGTTAGCCCACCCTGTGTGTAGAGCGTTCAATACCGAAAGCCTCAGCTTACATGTGACGTAAATTTTGACGAATGACGAATTTTTAAACTTTGTTGTGTTTTTGCGCGAATTTTCAATTTTTACATCATGCTTTCTAAAGATGATTTCTGAGCAACCAGTTGAGATTTACAAGTTGGAGTCTAGACCATGTATCCCATGCACCTGTTTATACGATGGTACGATGATGATACGAAAGTGTTTCTATTGGTTGGAGATCTGTCAATTCGTCCGCCGTCGTACGAATTGACAGACGTACAGTCGAATTGACAGATCTCCAACCAATAGAAACACTTTCGTATCATCGTACCATCGTATAAACGGATTCATGGGACACGGGCTTTATACAAGGGCGGATAAATTTTAAACTTGGAGAGTTTTTAAGCGGGTTTTTCAACTTTTCTTCAAACTTGTTGAGAGATTGAAATAATTTTGGCCCAAAAAAACGGGGCAATCAGCAGCCGATGGAAGAAACTGGACCTTTAAGTTGTGGATGTCTTTATTACCTTCAGCTCGTGCTATCCCTCTTTTATAAGTCCGAATACGTAATTGGATTGGTTTTCTTTCATTTTAAAAAAGTCGAGAGCAGTGCGGCTCAATCCCAACCCTTCGATAAAGGTAGCTAGATTAATCCGAGTTTTGCGTTTTTATTGCCTGGGTAAAATTAAATTTTTATTTTTCGTTTTGTCCAGAAAAGAAATACAATCAACGTTGTCAAGCCATAGGCAATCATCGTTCCTCTCAGTAACCTCAAACTTCCTGAGTGCCTAACCTCATTAAACTAGTAAACAATCTGGCCCAAATCTGGAGTGGTAAACATCCACTGAAACTGACAGTTTCTGCCTCATCAGCACTCTGAAGACACCTAGGATGGACATCAACGGGAAATTGAAGGAATACGAGTGCTTCATCGAGGACAAACTAAAACGTGACTTACGGGACATTGAGCTGCTGCTCAATAGCAAAGCCGCTCAATGCGAGGAGTGGAATGAGCTGAAAACCATGGTGGGTGCCATCAAGGACCACAGGACAAAAGACCGCGACATGCAATTGCAGTTTGAGTTGGGGAATGGGGTGGCGGCATTCGGGAGTATCAGCGACTATGAAACTACTTTCGTGGATGTGGGGCTTGGCTATCTTTTGGAAATGCAACCAAATGAAGCGGGAAAGTATGCGGACATCCGGTTGCGGCTGCTTCAAAAGGAAATGCTGCATCTGCGAGAACTGGCAGTGGGTGTGAAAGTACGCATTAAAATGGTGCTGCTCGCCATCGGCGAGCTGCAGGCCTCATTAAACAGGTGACTATGAAAAAGTAATTTTATTCTAGCAAATCAGTTCCCTTCAACAGCCACTTCGGTCACAGCCTGCACGTAGAACGGGCCTTCCTTCACGTACTCCTCAATCCGTTCTTGGAGATTCTGGTCGAAGACCAGACTTTGCGCTAGCAACTTCACTATGACGTACTTCGCCTGCTTGCACTCTTTTACTGATTCCACACTGCGGTCCAGCAAAAACTCCACCAAGCCTTAAAAAGCGCCGTTAAAGCCAAGAAAACTAAAACTTCCTCCTAGTACCTGGAGAGTTTCTTATGGCCTCCTGCCCCCAGGGCTGTCCTGCCAGGGCATTTAAAATCCCCAACCCTGCAAGACGCAGATCGGCAAACGGGTTTTTGGCATACTTTGCGATCAGCTCCATGGGCTCCGCCCCTAGAAGCCTGTACCATTTCTCAGTGATCTGTATGGTGTCATAGCGCTCGTCTCTCAGCAGGTTTTCCAAGCAATTCAAGGCCCTCACTTGCGTTTCAGTGGGCAGCGAAGGCAGCAGCTTGGCAATAATCCGGACGGTGCCCTCCAGCTTACTGCCTGCAGATATCGAGGACTTCATGCATAAATAGCCAAATGAGAAGGATTTCACCTGTGGAGTCTAGAGCTAGTTTCCCATGGGAGGTTTGTCCGATGAACCCGATAGTATCTAGGGAAATTCCAATGATAACCAGATCGCTTTGTTCGATGTTCGCGAAGAGATGATCGAACATTGCTGGATATTTAGCGAGAAGTTCGCGGGGTTTTTTATGCCCTATTTGTCCAAAGAACTTCAGGATTCCTTGAAGAGGTGGTCAACAATAAAACCAGAGATTCAGTTTGAAAAGTGAGCGCTTACCAGGCTGGCACAGTTGTGTAGTAAGCTCGTCTTCGTTGATAAGCCCAAAAATCCTGTCGAAAATACCTTGTTGGTCCAAAAAGACGTAGCCATGCTCGCTAAGGGCTAGCTCGGATAAAATCTGAATCACATTGAGCTTGAGCAGCACGTCGTTGTTGCCGATTTCCTCAATAACCCGGCTGATCAGTCCCATTGACTTGAATTTGCCAAAGCTGTACTCTGATAGCTTGGAAATGGTGACCAACAACTGCAAAGCTGAATTCATTAGCTCTTTTTCTCAACTAAGTAGTTTTTTACCTCATAAACCCGCATCCTCACCACCTCGTTGCAACTCAGCAACTCCTGCAGAGGAATCAGAACCTCGTTGCTCACCAGTCGGTTGGCTCCGGGCACAGTGACGCCCAATGTCTCCAAAACCTCAGACGCCCTTTTAGCCACTCCCAAATCAGCATCTCCCAGACAGTTGACGATGTTCAGCATCAAAGTGGTTTGTTCGCAAAGGGAGCACAACACTTCCTCATTGGAAATGGAGCGGCCGATTTCGTTAAGGGCCATGCTCTTCACAGCAGGATAAGGATGGACTAGGGCGCGTTCTAGCGAAGTCCTATAGCGCTGCGTGCTCTCCCCAAGGTGCAGGCTGCTGAGGCATAAAGTGAGGACTTCGCAAGCCAAGTCCACCTGTTCTCTGTAATAGAGGGTTTGAATGGGAAAAGGCAGGGAAGGGGGGCACTTACGAGTTAGAATCATTGAGGCAGTCGAAGACCAGGGGCAGCTGCAGCCCGCTGGACATAGTGGCGGCTTCATCATGGGGCAGAGCCTTTAAGTGGTCGCGAAGCTCACTTAAGGTGGAGATCCTCAGCTCTTCCTGCAGCAAATTCGAGAGCTTGTCGGCGCACCATTCGTCCTGTACAGGCATTTTGTAATACTCTAAACTGCAACTCACTGTGGTTTACAAACAAAGCCTTGACAATCAGCTGTTAAAGTATGCAATTGCGTCTAGCGATAACCCAGATATTTTATATGCGACAATATTGACAGCTCTGGCCTGGTAAATGGCGCGCAGTTTAAAACGGCAGGGCGACTATGACGTCAGGAAATATGGCCAATGGAGGCGTATAATTAACATATAAGTTTACGTACGTAAAAGTTTATGGTAATTAACGATCAACATTAATATACAGGGTGGTGATTCATTTAAATGCCGCGCTCCACTGGAGGTATAGCCGTCCTTTTCTGATCGAGGTTTTTCTGCGATGTTTGAGCAGTAATACCGCAGATCTTCGAGGTCAAGTTTCTTCTAAAGGATGGCGACATTTCTTAAATTCTTTCTCGCTTTAGTTTGGAAGCTTTGATTTTTAAAAGGCGAGCATGTAGTTTGAGTAACATTCATTCTCACATTCGCTACACTGGCAAAACTGAGGATCCTGGTCGATTCATGTGAAACTTCTTAGTCTTCTAAGGATGGTGAAAATTTCAAGTTGCTACTGGCTTTAGCTGGGCAGATGCGATTTTATTAAAACCATTAACACTTTTTCTATCATTTTATTCCATTTACAGAGGACGCTACAAAGTAACGGCAACGTATGGCTTAACTGATCTGGACATTATTTCGTACATGTTAGGATCAATGGGCTGGCGGTCATCATAGAGAGTGGGCGCTTGCAAGATGATTCCAGCCGTTCCCACCAGCACGGCGAGCGTGAATATCCACAAGAAGAGCCGATCCAACACCATGGCCACATACTTCCAGTCCTCCTTCACCTGGGAACGCCTGTTTACCATGGGAATCAAAACGCCTTGAGGACCTTACCCTAATAGAGTCATTCTCCCGCTTGATGTGGCCTGCGATGAAGCGCACCCCATTGAGAGCCTTGTGGAATTCCGGGCACTGATGCCAGGCCAGATCATTCATCCAGGGGTCTTCGTATAGCTGAAACTCGCCCTCGCAGGACATGCGTATGATAGGCGAGGTGGTACCGTGCACTCTGCAGGCCAGTAGGCCGGCTGACTCCGCCTCTCTGCTGGCTAGGCGTTCGCAGAGGCTGGTGTTGGAGCGCATCTCCTGCGCCTCCTGCTCGATGATGCCCGAGTCGTACTGTAGCTTGGCAGCGCGCAAACCGTTGCAGGTTTGCAGGAGTGCCATTTGAGGATTGAACATGTTGAAGCTGCGCCGATCGAGTATATAGTGGGGCCGGCGCATCATCAATAGCCTCGGCAGAATGTGGATGAAGACGCGACGCACCCACGGCGACATCACGTGCGTTTGAGGGCAACGGAAGTGTACGTTGAGGACGATCACCGTTACGCAAATGCTGGAAAGGGGCGTGGAAAAGCGTAGCTAATGCGTTATTTGGACCTACCTGAATGTGTCCAGAATCATGGTGAAAAGCACAAACTTGCCCAACAGGGGAACCACCAGGGAGGTGGGTGGAATGATCTCGGCCAGTAGCAGGAAGAAAATAATCAGCGACAGAAGTATGGAGATGGACAAGCTGACCTGATTAGTGAATGAATATACAGAGTGTTTTGCTGATAAGTATCTCGTTGGATGTTCAACAAAACCTTCTCCACTGAAACACTGTTTTTTAGGCAAATTTACAGGGTCATTGAATATTAAGATTTTGTTGAAACAGTTTGGGACGGTTGAGCGTCTCTCGAAGTTGGAAGAAAAAACGTGAAAAATGCATCAATATACCGACCTTTTCGCCACTGTCCGAAGGCAGATAGAACACCAGAATCGTCAGGAAGGAAATGCCCATGCAGGGAATGATCAAGTTGACTGTGTAGAACAGCGTCTTGCGTCGCATGGTGATATTGAATGTGATGTCCAAGTAAGGCTCTTTGCAGCATCTGTAGAACTTTTCCGTCCTAATGGCTGGAACCTCTAAAATGTCCCATTCGACCGACTTGTAGAACTGCTTCAGGTCGATGCCGACCTCTACTATTGTGGAGCCTTTCGTTTCGTCGGTGTGCCGCAAATCCACCTGAGTGTAGCAGAATAAAAACTGTAGCGCGCTTGGTTGCAAAACTTGCCTGGAAACCGTCGTAGGTCCATGATCCGAACTTCATAACGCACGTTTGCTCGTCGAATGGAAAGTACTCCACGTCGATTTCGCAGGAAGACTTGTAGATGGCCGGCGGTCTCCATTCAACGAGTCCCGTGAAGTTCAGCGTCGCCTTGGTGGCCAGCGTCACCTCAAAGTTGCCGTCGGCGCTACCGAAACATGCTCAGCTCCAGTCATGGCCTTTAGATCGACTCTAAAACCCCCCCCTTACTTGTTGTAGAGAACAATGTCCGGCCTCCAGATGTCGTCGGAAGGAACGTGCAGCATGTCCACGTTTCCGTAGTCCATTGGGTTCCACTGCAGCTTGTAGTCGTACCAAGACTGTTCCACCCAGACATTAGTAGTCATTATCTGGTTCTTCAGATTCTGCAACAGTTTCAAATTCGGAACCTTCGCGCCTTTATTTTCAGTGGGAAAAACTTACCACATCGATCAGCTGCGACAGCTTCAACTTGATCTTCACCGAAAGAGCATCGCTGACATTCGCCACTGGCCGCACCAGCTTGTTGTAGTTGCTGAGCAGATCATCGTAAAGTCTTTTGGCGTCCGGATTTGCGTGGCATCCTGAGGATTTTTTTGCCATAAATTAATAAGTTGAGCGGCGCTTCATCTGAACTTACCTATCAGGAGCACCCAGATCAGAAACAAGGACACTGATACCATTGAGAGGATGAAAGACCGACTGCAAGTATGCGATCAATGCATGTTAGTCGGCCAGAATGGCCCAAATTGCTGCGTGGAGCGCGCAGCAGCAAAGGGCCGTATTTTAGAAAATCCTGCGGGAGTTGGACAGTTTTATCGTGGTCAACTGAGGCAGAGTGGAAGTTATTGGACCGGAATGGACCGAGATCAAGCGCCAGTTAATGGGTTTATGTGGCGTATGAAGTGTTCACGGTTTTGCTTATAACTTTTTAAAGGTTGGGCAGCACTAATGTTTTTAAGATACGAACAAAGTAGAAAATAAATAGGTTTAATGGAACATTTCTAATAATATCATAACAGCTGACAAATAGACTTGGATGGCCGCTGTTGGCTCCGCCCGGCCAAAACAGCCATCAGCGCCATTTGGAAGGCCGCATCGATGTTCCATTGGTTTTTCGCAGAAGTCTCAATGAAACCCGCCGCCCCGATGTCCTTGGCCAGAGCTTCGCCCTCTTCAGTCGTCACTTTCCTTTCGGCCAGCAGGTCGATCTTCGTTGCTACAACAGCGGATAGCCTTTTTATATATATACAGTGTGGCTTTTAAATGAGAACCTACCAACGAGGATTATATGGGCTTGCGAGCGGCATTTTTTGAGCTCAGGGGCCCACAAGAGGGAGATATTTTCAAACGAGTTGCGCTCCGCTATGGAATAGCACACCAGGAAGGCGTCCGCCTGCAGGAATTAAGTAAGGATAAACGGACAAAATACCTGGAGCGCTTTTTTTGCACTTACAAATCTATAGGCCAGTCTTCTGAGCTTATCGAACTCTTCCTGCCCGGCAGTGTCCGATAGAACGATTGTGTAGGGCTCGTAGTTGATCGGGATGGTCATCGAGTATTCGTCAAAGCTGGAACAAAGCCAACACCGCTGCTCAAGCCCTTAAACGGGAGTATTTAAAAACGCACTTACATAGTCGGGATGTAGCGATCGTCGAATTTTTTATCCTTGTAGACAATCAGTAGGCAAGTTTTTCCTGTGTCTCCATCGCCCACTACGGTGATGCGGATCAGCCTACTGGTGGACGAGGTTGTGCTTTTCTTGCGTCGATTCTGGGACATTTTCGCATGTTCTAAAACTGCATTACCAAATTTTACTTCGGCGTTTTGCCCCACTGAATGCTGGGGCGATTCAGAGGCCCGATTGGTTGCTTACCTATCAGCGATGTTCAGAAACCCCAAAAACGCCTAAACCTGGCCATTTTCTTTCCAACTATGTCACTGCGGCTGATAAGATAACGGCGCGCAGCTGATAAAGGATGATTGTAAATCAAGTGAAATTTTAATGCTATTGATCTGAGATAAATTGGACGCAAATTTTTGGTACAGTTTGCCTTGACATCCTGTATATAAACAGGCGTAAACTAATCAATGAAATAGTCTTATTTAAATTTACAAAGATTTCTTATTCTATTATAGCCGCTTATTTTATTAATAATATTAGAAATAAGTCAAATATGTCAACACCGTCGTTCTGTTTTTTAACGTGATGCTTATTAACCCCTACTTGTACGTAAATAAAGGACCACGTTATCCTCTAATAAGATAACGCTTATTTCTTTAATAATGCGCATGCTCAGAATAATTAAGGGGCCTAAAAACTCCCTCAGGATAACAGCATCAAACCGCTATCGAACTTATCGTGCGTCCCTCGAAGTTAACCTCGGGAAATAAATAAAACAAATGTGTTTAATCAGAGCGTAGTTTTGTCTTTTAGCTATAATTTGTTTTTAATTTAAAAGAAAAATATGTCTTTTGGTGTGGTCTTATACGGTTAGCTTTATTAGAACAAACTAAATCTAAAACTAATACACATGAAAGTTTCGATTTGTATCAGGAAAGCAGAATGTTTAAGGAGGTAGCGAGAAAATATGAGGAGTAGCAGTTTAGCGTTACGTTAGTGTCTTTGTCGATGCAGATGCTCTCTATTGGCGAGATTTTGCTGGCACACAAAAGTTTCGATTTGTATCAGGAAAGCAGAATGTTTAAGGAGGTAGCGAGCAAATATGAGGAGCAGGAGTTTAGCGTTACGTTATTGTTTTTGCCAATGCAGATGCTCTCTATTGGCAAGATTTTGTTGGCACACGAAAGTTTCGATTTGTATCAGGAAAGCAGAATGTTTAAGGAGGTAGCGAGCAAATATGAGGAGCAGGAGTTTAGCGTTACGTTATTGTTTTTGTCGATGCAGATGCTCTCTATTGGCGAAATTTTGCTGGCACACAAAAGCTTCGATTTGAATCAGGAGAGCAGAATGTTTAAGGAGGTAGCGAGCAAACCCTGTACTAACTTGCTAAGGCAGGGACCGAGAAACCACTGACCAACCAAGAACCTGCTTGCGGTATATCTCATGCCCAAGTTAGGGTGGCAGTTGGGCAGTGGA